CCCACAAAAAAAAACCCACCGCAAAAAAAACCAACTGAAATTGTATTTCTGGCTATATGCAGATAACATTGGAGGACTTCTAAGAAGGCAATTCTACTATGTGGATTTCCTCTGGATCTTTGAAATCTTGAGGGCTTTGTTATTGTGAGATAAATTTACGTCACCTAGTAGATATTAAGACAACCAGCACAATAAGTAGCTTTAAGAATGTTAAAATTTAATATTTTGAAGGAGTTCATGACTATTCTAAAGAAGCTGTAAATACTTCAGGTAATTGAACATAAAATCTCCAAATGTGGCTTACCTTGCTTTAGAACATAAAGATGAAATTTTCCATTACAGGAAAAGTTGACCTCAATTTAATTTCCTTACACTGGAATCCAGTGCCAATATATGTGTTGTGATTCTAGCCAGGTGTTTCATTATGCCAATGTGCTATAAAAGAGCACTTCTATCTGCTAGGGGTATTAGATCTTTCTCAAAGACTTTCATGCAAACATACTCCTGGTTCGCTTTTCAAACTAGCCATCAAAGACCTCTCATCGTAAACTGAAGACTGCATAATATCCTGACTTTAAAGACTGCTCTGTAAGTTCAGTGTAATGATGAAGTGCTTGTTCCAAACTTGTGCTCAGTATTTTAGCTGTTACATTTAGGGACAAGGGGTTAGGCAGTGGTGAGGCTTGTAGAGGAGCCCATGTGTTTTAATGAACCCAAATTACTAATGTTTCTGCATGCAGAACTGAGCCTAACTTACAAACCTAGCAATAGTTGTTTTATGAAATTGCACACCTTTTTTTTTTTTTTTTCTTGAAGTAAGAATCTTTTGAAAGTGACTCTACTGGACTGTAGTAAAGTTTGCTAGTATAATTGCTTACAGCTTTGCGTTCATCTCATTTTGATGCTTGTCATCTTACAGGTTAGAGCAACAAGATGTATTTCAAGTAATGATGCCAAATACACCTAAAAGTAGAGTGACTTATTAATAAAAGGAAGGGTGGATTTTGGTCTGCAGTAACGTTAGTGAGGTTAATGGAAATGTTACTCGTCTAGAGGAAATGACTGAGCTTTGCACTACGCAGATGGCTGCAGAACCTTTCTGCTCTAGCAGCTGGATGACAGGATCAGGAGAAGAAAAGGCAGCCACTGTGTGACACAGAAATAAATATTGTATTAGTATTCTGTGTTATGGCTTGGATCTTATTTGCATTAGAGCTTTCTTATGTGTGAAAGTCTACCAAGCCAAAGAAGGGACAGGATGTGTAGCAGACTGAAAGTAAAGTCAATTTTTTTGCAATAGGAGACTTGTTAAGCAGCGTAGCAAGTAAGAAGTAAGGGGGAACTCATCCATTTCCACCTGTAGAGCTCCTCTGGAGAAGCCTTCTGGGCTGAGAGGAAAGAGTTGGTGTAGAAAACCATTATGGAAAGCTGTAGTATATAACCTGTCAGCTGATGACTTTTAAAAATGTGAACAGTGTCGTTTTCTTTCTTCTTTCTTTCTTTTTTTTTTAACAGGAATATTTTAATTGATAAAACTAGATCTTTATTAAGTCTAGATATGACATGACAACTGTGTTTGAAGTGAGAAGGCAGAGTATCCACTGAGTTCATCAAAGCTTCAGTGAGTCAAAGCAGTTTGGCAAGGCATTCATTGCAGGCCTTCCTACGTAGTTTTATTGCTGCTGCTAACTTCTCAGTCATATTCAAACAGCTTTTTGCTAGTCCTGTTCTGGGCTAACTGAAAGAATCTTCCAAGCTTCGGAATAAAAGCTTGGGTGCTTGAATGACAATCTGCGGTGGTGGTACCTGTTGCATGAACAGACTTCACACCCCATTTTTGTGGTAGGGGAGAGAGTCTCTTATGCTGCATATATGTATTAAATATAAATATATTTTATATATGCTTAACTTGTGTGCAAGGCACAATGTTTGCTTGAAGTATCAGGCTTGTATGTAGTGGCATACCCACAGGTAAGTCCCTATCAGTTTTGTGGAAGAAGGCAGTAGGAGCCTGTGTTGGCCTTCATGAATCACCATGTTGCAGAGTCTTACTTTGTAACCATTATGTACTGTGCTGACAGTGGAAGCACATTTCCTGTGGTTTTTTTTTCCTTGAATATACCTGGATTTACCTTTACCTGTGCAGAGTAGCAAGCCTCATGAGAGAAGGGGGCCTTACATTGCCCAAGAACAAGTTGTTTGAAAGAGGAGTTGTTTTGTATGGTTGCAGATGGATCCACAGTGCATAGCTGAGCATCACTTAAGCAGATTCTTGACCTATCAAACACAGAGATGTCCTCAAAGTGCCCTGTGACAACTGGAATCGCGTGAATAATTAAATGGAAGAATGCCCATATTGTTGAGTTTAAGAGACAATGATACTTCTAGCTCTGAGCTTATGGCAAGAAGGTTGGTACAGTTGGCTTCTTGAAGTCTGTGTGAAGAGAACACAAAGCCACGTCATTGTGTTGAGGAGGCTACTGCATGGTTTCCTTAGCTTGCAGATGATACAAAGTTGGAAGGTGCTTGATATATCAGTGAGCTGTGCTGCTGTTTAGAGGGACTCTGATGGACAGCAGAAATAGGCTGACAGGAATCTCATGAAGTTCAACAAAGAAAAACGCGAAGTCCTGCACCTCGGGAGAAATAACCACATACCCTGCTACAGGCTGGGGACTGACTGGCTGTAGAATAGCTTTACTGAAAAGGACTAGAGGTTCTGATGGACACCAGATTGAACATAAGCCAGCAATGTGCCCTGGTGGTAAAGAAGACAAATGCTATCCTGGGCTGCAGTAGGAAGAATGCTGCCAGCATGTTGAGGGAGGTGTTTTTTCCCTTTGATTAAGCTCTGGGGAAGCAAGATCTGGAGTGCTGTGTCCAGTTCTGGGCTCTCCAGTAGAAGGAAGATGTGGACTTAATGGAGTGGGTCCAGAAAAGGGCCATAAAGACCATCGAGGATTTGGAGCATCTTTCATATGAGAAGGAGCTGAGATTATACAGCCTTGGGATAATAAAGCTCAGAGAATCTTATTGTAAATTATATAAATACCTAATGGGAGTGAGCAAAGAGGATGGAGCCAGACTCTTTCTCAGTGGTATCTGCTGAAATAACAAGCAGTGGGCTCAAACCAAAATACAGGGAATTCCTTTAAACATAAGAAAACACTTTTTCCTGTAAGGGTAACTGAACACTGGAACAGATTGCCAAGAGAGTTGTGTGGTCTCCATCCTGGGAGACAATCAGAACCCATCTGGACATGGCCCTGAGCAGCCTGTTCTCACCTACTTTGAGCAGGGGGCTGAAACTAGATGGTCTCCAGAGGTGCCTTCCAACCTCAGTGATTCTGTTGTTTGGTGACTGAGAACTCTGGTGTTATTTTCCCTGCTGTGTTATAGTAAAAATATAAGTCTGCATATTATGAAGGAGCAGATTTCTTGAGAATACTATTTGGCTTCCCCTTGAAGTGACCCATGTTAGAGTTCTGGGCATGGTGTTTCTTCTGGGACAGTATCCCGAATTCTAGATGCAGAAATACTGCTGAACTTCTGCATTTGTCTGACACTGTATTTTTTTAATACTTCCTCTTAAAAACATGAGTTGTTGGAAGGGGAAGTATACACTGTCCAAGTTACAGGAAATCTGTGGCAGTGATTATCTTGTTACTTACAAGGCCTTTGCGACTCATCCTCATACAGCTGGGCAGTGGGACTCATGCACTGTACCAAAGGCTGCTCAGGTGAACACAGTAAATGTTGGCAAGTCTTGATTGTAAAGCAAGATGCAAATGCACTGCTAAGCTAATTGTCCAGTGTGTGTTGTCATCTTTAGTATCCTGTAATGTCTAGGCTTTTACTAAGAAGAGGAGGAAGAAGGATTTTCTTCGGAAAACTTTACTTGGCTGTTGTGTATGTGTAGCGTACTGTGTACGCCTATTAAGTTTTCCTGGATATTTAATGTAAGGGCTTCTATTTTGACTCTGTTTTTCTACCCAAAGCATGTTAGTCTGTTTTTTATATAGTAAAATCTATGACCTTAATCCAAAGTTACTCCAGCAGAATGTATCCTAACATGGGTGACTTATTAATGTAACGCTGCTGCTTCTGAATTGCTGGTCTTGTGCTATTTACTCCAATTTCGGTTAGTGTATTTAAGGTTTTATGCCAGTTTGATGTGTTGCTAATCCTAGAACTTGTGAAGATAGTCTTGGGAAGTTGTGAAGGCTGCAGGAAACTCCTCAACTCACACAGCTTCTTGGGGGAGAGACTGCATAGCTGCTCATCTTCTGTACGGACATACAGGACAGCATCAGTGCCTTTTGATCTTTGACAACAGATTCTAGCCGCTGTCACTCAAGTCTGCTTTGCTGAGGTGTTGGATCTTGTGCAGTTCCATCATTGCCTCTGCTAACTGGGGGAAGGGGTTCTCATATTAGCAGAAGTAAGCCTCACAAGACTCTGTTTTGACAAGAATCAATACCTTTTCTACATACTCAAGCAATTAGTATTACGGTGACTTCAGCGCCTCCCTGTGCAGTCTGTGGTTAAATGGTTGTTCTGAGAAGCTGTTCCAGAACAGAGCACGCACTGACGTGGATATTTTACACTGGAGGACTGGTAGGTAAATGGATTCCAGCAGAAAGCATGCATCTCTTTCAAGGATTTTTTTATGTAGTAGTATGTGCCACTTGGGACACAGGCGTTATTGCTTTGTAGGAGGCCCTTAATGCGAATGCTGAATGCTGCTTTTAATTTCTTTTGCTCGGCCTTGTGCAATAAGGAGGGCACAGATGGGAGTTCAGCTGGGCTTTAGGTAGCTTGAATTGCTATT